CATCATGGCGCCCCTTCATCCATGGATGGCTTCCCCATCTTTCTTTCTCCTTCACCGACCCACGGACAGCCGGTTCTTGATGATCATCCCGATCGACTTCCGCCATCCGAATCACTCGCATTGCGACAACAGCGCCCTCGGGAGCATCTCCTCCATCATCACAGAGATCACCACATACCTCACAGGTCACCACAGCAGCGACCAGGGTTCTTCAGGACGGCCTCGATTAGTGTCATACCCCCTTTCACATCTCTGTACACTAAGGCCAGATCCCTTTCAGTCCCTCATGTCACTTAACAGTGGTGATCAAACATATTGTGGACACATATAACCAATGACCCACCGTATGAATCGCATGTGTACCACCAGTACTACATGTTGCAGAGGGTCGCTCAGCTCCCATACGTGTCTGCTGGGTCAGTTGGAAAAGTGCCGGAAGGCTGTGACGCACAGTATATCAGGTTGATGCACTTTGTGGACAGCGCCAGCGAGATGTATTCACGATCGCAAGGTCTTTGATCAAGGCTATTGAGAGGCGCTAGGACCAAAAGCTGTGTGGCGGTCCCCGTGCAGAGAACTATATGGGGGGGGCCGATCCTGGCGAGATAAGAAAATGTCCTGATCGCGGTTGTCAACTGGTGCGAGCTTGGATGTGCTAAACGAGGCAGGTTTATGGCAACAGTCTCAGCGATGTGTTACCACACTGGCAACCATAGGTTGATGAACGTGAAACACAGCGGCAGAGTTGAGGCGCACGGGCCCTAAGGTCGTTAAAAGTGCCTAGGGCCAGCCTCACGGAGGAGCGCTGCGGGCACCAGCCTGTGCCGCGAAAGGCAACGAAGTGAGGCAGTCCGGGGAGAGGCCCATGCGAATCGGCGAGGATGGCGTGAAAGCCTCCCTGCGAAGGAAGGAGGCCGGAAGCTCCCTCCAAGGAGGTGAGCCAGGGTCAAGCCAGGCTGCGACGGCCTGAGTGGATCTGCCACCAGCTGCCGCGTAGCGATTTTCCGAGAGAGTGGCGTGCTATTGTGAGCGTTGGCAAATTCGGTGTGAAGTTGTGTCGTCGGCCGAATGCCAGTGAGGACCCCAAGCGATGACGTGGAGAGTGCCGAAGACTCTCAAAAACAAAGTTGGCGACGAAGCCAGGTGCACGGGGAGTGGATGTTCGGGTTCTCGGACCGCAATGTCGGCCGGTGAGGTAGCCGCGTGAATAGTGTGCGAAGGGGCGGTACCGATAGACCACGTCAGCGGGATGGGATGCGACTTTTGAAAGGCGTAGGCCCGAGCCGTGCGATGAAGACACCTCTGCTCACGACGACCAGCATGGTCGTGGGAATCCATGCAGGGGTAGGGAGTCGAATATTTTTTATTAAGGTCGAATTGCGCGCTGTAACCGACCAGCACCCGTTATTTTGTTACGAGTGGTTTCCCTGTTGGGTACTGGCGATATTCTGGCGATTTTAGGTTGATTCAATGAACAAGAATGATTGGAACGCCGTGTTGCGGGATCGTCCGGCCTTCGACGTGAAGGGTATGCGTGAAGAGTTAGAGGGACCAGCTCCAATCCGTGCATTTGCCGCCCTGGGCGGAGTGGCGATGTGTTTGGCGAGCGCCCTCGGAATGTTGAATGTTATTAAAGTTGTTTTCAACCCTGTTGCATATTTACTACATTTGTATCTAATGTATCAACACGGAACATCACGGATTGCACTGGGATTACGGACCACGATATTGTAGAGCGTTTGGTATGAGCGTGATCGCGATTGAAGGCAAGACCCTGGGTGAGAACTCATGGAAGATGTTTGTGTACCGGTGGCTGCCTTTCACCACCGTAGTCGGTGGGAAGGGCTTGATGTACGCATTTTTCGGACTCCTAGGCTTGGCATACGGCTTCCAAGACTTCCTGCTATTCGCGGCGGGTTGCTACATGGTTGCTGTAGGTGTGGTGTACTGTCTTATCCACACCGCCAAGTTCGAATCACTAAATGAGAAATATGCAAAGAGCCAATACGTTACTCGTTCAAGTATGTACTACTAAGTGGAAAAAAAGCTGGTTAAATGGTCTGAGTCAATCTCACTTGGTCAAGCGCTCTTGAGATTGAATGTCGATGTCAAATGTCCTTGACTCAGTAGCCGGGTCGGATGCTGTTCGTGCCAAAACAGTAGGCTCATAAATTCAGGCGCTTCAGCAGCGTCATACCTTTTTTTTCAGAACTGCACATCCCACTGCACTTGTCCCACTGCACTTGTCCCTCACCGCTTGTTTGTTCCCACTATCCCACTTATTTCCTACAATCGCGAACGAAGTTAAAGCTCGAAAGAGGTTGCGCGCGAGAGAGGTTACAACGTGCGAAAGAGTGTGTGTCAACGCGTTGTAGCGTGTTATAGCTAACCTGCCACACCACAGGCGGACCACGCACGATAACCCCACTGCAAACGGCTTCATGAGACGATATGAAGACGGTCGAACAGTGCTCATTCGGATGCCTGTGTTGAGCATGCTGGCTCAAGATGGGCATCAGCCATTCATAAGCCCTTATTCACGTACGCCCTTATCCCATAACAAACCCTCAGACTAGTCACTGACCAAGTTCTCGTGGCAGATCCCCGTTCAAACCAACCGGAGAACAAGCGCCTCAAGCTGGGATCATTAATGCGATTTGGATCGTTACCTCCAATGCTAGGAACAGTGGATACGTGTGATGAGAAACCAACTCCACTGTCGGATGGGAGCTACAATCCGCTGAATCTGCGTAAGCACTTGGGGAGGCATGGTCACGATGTGAAACGGGTTATAATCCATGGCCTTTCAGCTATCGATCGGGAAGGACATTATGTACCGGTGCCTGAAGTATGTGCCCGTGTATTACGACCACACCAACGTGAGGGTGTCGCTTTCATGTTCGCTTGCTTGCTGGGTCTCAGTGACTATCCGAAAGAGGTTGCGGAAATTGTGGACACCACTAAGGCGAACGGATGCATACTCGCAGATGATATGGGTCTTGGAAAAACCCTTCAGAGCATTGCAGTAATGTGGACGTTGCTACAAAGCTTCGATGGTCAAAACAAAAGATGTACGTTCATACGGCTGTGGCTGCACATGGTGGGTGTATACAAGGTGGGTATGCATGGGGTGATAATGTCGCTTAGTGGCAGAGAAGGTTCTGGTGGTATGTCCGGCATCTCTAGTGGGAAATTGGTCAGCTGAGTTAGATAAATGGTTGAAAGGTGCTTGTCGTCATACGGCAGTAAATGATGGAGTACGTTCTAAAGTATTGGCGAAGCTGGAAGGGTTCAAATATGACCGAGTATCCAAAGTCCTCATAGTGTCATATGAAGCGGTTCGAATGCATTTGAAATTAATTAAAAACAAATTAAAATTCGATTTAATTATCGCTGATGAAGCACACCGATTAAAGAACTCAGAAAGCGGTATCAGCTCGGCCATTGCTTCTATGGACTGCAGGAAACGATTACTACTAACGGGGACACCATTACAAAATGACCTGAACGAATTCTTCATCCTGGGCGCACTCGCTAACCCTGTAATTTTCACCGACGACAAATCCCGGAAAAATTATGTAAATCCGATCCTGGCAGGGATCAACCCAGACGCAACGGATAAGGAGATTACTTTTGCCAAAGACAAGTTGTCCACGCTCGCGAAAATCACCAACGCCTTCGTACTCAGACGAAGCAACGTTCTACTCAGAACGGTCTTGCCGGACAAAGTCGTAGCAGTAAGCACTCTTCCACAACAGTTACTGTTCACTGCAACTGCTGTGCAGTTGTTGACTGCAACTGTAAGCCCACTGCAAGTGCCATTGTTTCGAATTTCAGTACGTCTTCTG